ACATTCAATAATCATCGATAGCACTGGATCTGAATATCAAAAGAGTTTCACAATTCTTCTAGGTATGAACTTCTTTATTGAGGCCAAAGAAACTTTCATTGACGTCTATATATGGTACCACAAACCTAAACTGATGTGGATTAATTTTTTCTTTTCTGTCAACCATTATATCTACTGGTTAAGGCATATATTCTTCTCTTGAACAGCGGTTAACACATACATTCGCTGGGGATGCATTTAGTGTTCACAAGTATGCAAGAATCAGTTGTGTTCACAGGTGTGGAAAATCATAACAATATTTTTTTTTTCATAAAATAAATGAATTTGTTACTATAATAAACTTTTTTTTTCATAGATTACCATTGAATGAGGGTTTGCTATTGTCAACTTCATCTTGGAGATCCCTTCAGCTCTACTTGACCAGCTTTACTCTGAGCCTAAATCTCAATATGTGCTGATATTAAAGCTGCTATCATTATGTTCCTCAATTCTTTGCATTTTGGAGCTTTGGTACAAAGGGAAAAAACAGAAAGAGTTACCTGGATCCGGGGTGGAACAGTGGTAAGGTGCTTTGACTTTACCCCAACAAGCCTTTCTTTAGCTTTTGGGATAAGGTTGGATTGATATCTGTTGTGGTTCAGCTCATCCTTGCAACATTTAATTATGTTTTGGTTGTTCAACATATAGGCCAGGTCACAATATGTGTGTTCCCTATCGTTTTTGCCGATCGTTCAATCAATTCCCAAAATTTCTGATAGTCCAAACAAGACGGGGGGAAGGAAATGTTTATGAGGAAGATGAAGTTGCCCTCATTAATCAAAGACAAACAGTAAGTGAAGTTATGTTCCCGAGATAGGAAGTGAAGAAGAGAAAAGTGTCCTAATCAGGAATCAAAGTCACAGAGTGAACCAAGAGGAGTTCCCAAAGGCAGAAGGAAGCGTTGTTCAATATGATAAAACCACCCACCCTAATCTAACAGAGAGTGAGAAAAGCGTCATTCCCAGAGGAAATAGAAGAGCCATCTTGTGTTAATGTAGCGAAGAGATGTTTGGATGAACTCAAAGTGGTGAAGAATTCTCTGAATGAACTCAATGAAAGAGCGTGTAGACTAAAGAATAGGAATGAGACTGTTTTAGTACTCAGGAATTATTTGGCTACAGGAATTATAAAAAGAATAGGACGTATGAAAATTGCTTGTTTGGATTTAGGAGAGGTGTTTAAGCAGTTAAAACTAGCCAATTGGGTGGAGAAGGTTTTGAATGAAACCCAGCATGAGATTGAATTTGAAGAGAAGACATGGAACTCAAGAAATGTTCCGTTACAGAAATTTCAGAAAAAACAGAGATCTGCAAAGTGGGTGTTTCGTTTTTAGAGAGATGGATAAGGATTTAGAACAAGTCAATTGGGTGGAGAAGACTTTGGATAAAACCCAGAATAAGATTGGATTAGAAGAGAATATATTTTTAAAAATCAAGAGGGAAAATAAGAATATGGGAGGTGGAATTGAATAAACTCCAGAAGTTTTCCACAGTGGAAGAGTCAGATCAATCTTCACTGGCAGAAGAGTCTTTGAGTGAATCCAACAAGAAGACAAATTGGGTTGCGCTGGTGAAGAAGTCTTTGGATGTAATCAACAAGACCGAGTACTCTCTGGCTGACGTCAAGACGAAGTGGTTGCATTCAACGAAAAGATTACATCACTGAAGAAGGCATTAGAGATCTGCCTCAATTTGTTCGGATCGTCACTTGAGCCTAATAGAATTGCAAAAAATTATTGGATGGTTTGTGATTGTTACAGAGTTGTTAAGATCGTAGCGCCATAATTAGGCTTTGTTACATGTCAATATATTTATTATAATATAAATTATATAAATAAATAAAATTTACACTGTTAAGATTTTTCGAACACAAATCATTTGGAAACCCCGGTGCTACTTTTATCACTAGGAGCAGTGCTAGGGGCACAACTCGCCTCCCGCACTCTCCGGCCAACACTCCCCCTTTCATTGGGCCATGTTATTTTAGTTCGGCAAGAGGTTGCACTTCAGAGCTTAAACAACCTTACGTGGCCCAATGAAAGGGGGAGTGTTGGTCGGGGAGTGCAGGAGGCGAAGGCCCCTAGCACTGCTCTTATCACTAGACCAAATACGAATCCTACCACATAACTTCATATATATATATATATATATATTAGTCAAATAATTGACTAATAGTTGAACTACTATTTTGATTAGTCTAATCAGGTTGTACCATTAAAATTGAGAATCTAAGATTAAAAAGGTTTAACTTCCAAATTCATTTTAAAAACAATAGTTAAGGATGAGTTTCTTGAGGTAAATTTTTTTTATCAAAAAGAAATGATTAAATACTGACTATAAAAGATATATAATTGCTAAGTATTAGATTAGGAAAATGATGTGTGCACACCAGGATTCAACACCCAGGTGTGCACACATCATATAAAAAAAAAATGCCCATCACCCAATCCAACTTTTTCTTTTATGTGGGGGGTGCACACCTGGGTGTTGGATCCGAGTGTGCACCAATCATTGTCCATTAGATTAATGGCAAAGTGCATCTCAATCCTACCTCTAAAAAGAAAATTGGAGTTCCAACCAAAATGACGATGTTTCTCTAAAAAACCTAGCCCCTTTTGTTTGTCATTCCTCTCAAAAATCCAACACCTGCTGTCACCTCTTTTGCAATCATCTCCATCTCCATCTCCAACGCCTCCTCCCCTCCTTGACTCATCTGATTCCTTCAATTTTTCAAACACAATCCCATGCTACCAACTTAATCCCCAGCACCCACTATTTTCGCCCCACTCTGCTGTTGCAATTCATCGTCTCCATTGACGGTAATCGAAGGACAATACATGATTTGTTTTCTGTACTTGATTCTTGGAATCTTTGAAAATATCTTAATGAAGGGCATGACCAAGCAATAAGTCATAGTAAACTTTATAATACTACTGCATCAGTGGTGGAAGATTTGAAGATGCAATTATATAATATTAGAAAGGAACTTGAAGGTTTGGTTATTGAATATAGTGAACAAGATTTTGGTGCTCAAGCAATATCTCAAGATTTAATTTTCAGTAATATAAAAATTTATGA